ATGTGTAACCAGCCTTAAGGAGTTCCTCCTTGTTACAACAAATGATTCATTGAGTTATCTTTACAATTGCGACCGGTAGTTTGACTACAATGTTTAGATGGCCAAATTAATTCAATAAAATAATTCTATATCGAATGTTGCACCTAAAAGGACAAATGTGAGGTATTAAAAAGGAACCGTCTTATGAATGAAAATACATACTATATATAATAGAACTTTTTTCACTATTATTATTTGTTATCTTTGGTGACAAACAAGTTAAAAATAGTGGTGGTTGTTGTTACTATCCTAAGTGATGCGTTAATGGTGGTGGAGGTTTTGTTTTTTTATACCCACCATCAAAAAAGATGGGGGGTATATTGATTTTGTCATTCCGTTTGTAACACATCGAAATATTGGTCAGAGACCCACAAAAGTATATATATTCTGGGTCCTCATTAAATTCTAAGACGATCTAGCCATGTCTGTCCGTCTGTCCGTCTGTCCGTCCGTCCGTCCGTCCGTCTGTCTGTCTGTCTGTCTGTTGAAAGCACGATAGAGTCCGAACGGAAAGAGCTAGAGGCTTGAAATTTCACATAAATATTTCTTATAGGTAAGGTTTGTTTGGTATTGAAAATGGGCAATATCGGTCCACGTTTTCGGATAGCCCCCATACAAGTGGCCCCTAGAAAAGCAGCTTTAACAGCCATAACATGTTTAAAAATACGAATATAGCGATGAAATTCGACATAAATAAGTTTTTTGTGATCCAAAATCACTGTGCAAAATTTTATGAGGATCGGTCCATAATTGACCCTACCCCCCATATAAGGTCCCCTTCAGAAAATGACTTTAACGCTCATTACTGGCTTAAAAATTCTAGTATATAGATGAAATTCGACATAAGTAATTTTCATACGAGTCAAAATCTATCTAAAAAATTTTATGTTGATCGGTCCATGATTGACCCTACCCCCCATATAAGGTCCCCTTCAGAAAATGACTGCAACGCTCATTAATGACTTAAAAATACGAGTGTAGCGATGAAATTCGACACAAATAAATTTTATACGAACCAAATTCTGTCTACCAAATTTTATGAGGATCGACCCATAATTGACCCTACCCCCCCATATAATGTCCCCTTCAGAAAATTACTTTAACGCTTATAACTGGCCTAAAAATACGAATATATAGATGAAATTAGACATAAGTAAGTTTCATTCGAGTCAAACGAGGTTTGATGGTGGGTATATAAGATTCGGCATAGCCGAATATAACACTCTTACTTGTTTTTTTTTGGAACACATGCTTGTTTTACAACACCTACAATTTACTATACAACTTGCTAGAACTGCTAAATGATTTTCTAGTTGACAGTCATCATTTAGTCCTTCCGTTTTTTACAGTATGTATTTTTCTATTATTTTTTTGCTTTTCCTTTATACATGGAATAAATTTTCTGTTAAAAAGACTACATTTACGTTAAGGTTTTCTTTTTCATATTTTCTCTTCTTCATCATTCTTCAAACACTAGGTGAGTGCGCAACTCACTTCACACCTCTATCCATTAATAACAACAACCAACAGCAACATCATCATCCAGTAATACATACACATTAAACCTACATACAACATTATATTTTATTTTATACATGCACATAAAAATACTCCACTCCAATCGGACAGAAAAAAAAAAAACAAAAACCCACCCCCTGCAAAAAAAAAATTAAATAAATAAACACTACAAGGAATGGTGAAATATGTATGTTTGTTTGTTTGTATGTTTGCTTATAGATGTGAGAAAATGTGAGCAGAGAATAAAAGTCAAAGCATGTTAGTTTTGGCAGAGCGAAGAGCAGAGCAGCAGCAAAGTCATTTTATTAACAGAGGGATACGAAATAAGAGTATAAAAATAAACAGTAATGTCAATAATGCAATTAAATAGTGACTATAAAAACGCTAATTAAAGAACAGTTATAAAAATATTGTTTTAGCCTGAAGGGTTCCCCTAATCAGAAGTTCAAAAATGTAATATAGGAAAAATTGTATTGGTTCCACAACTAGCTTATACTAAAAACTTTTTTATTCGAAATTGTTAACGTCGGAACTTTTTTGTGGAAGCGTTTTGTAGTCGACAATCATTCTATGGAACTAAACTAATGCAGATAACATAACTCCTAAAATTATCAAAATTTTTATAGAATTTATCCGGAGTTACAAACTTTAGGGAGAAATTCCACCAATCTTTCATTTCAATAAAGTACTCATTGATGGCTGACCCTTTCTGCTTCAACTGTATAAATTTTTGTATGAATGGAAAAATCTTAAGAGGGTTTCCAAATTATATTACTACAAATTTCCAATTGGACCAAAGTAGTTGGTATATCTAGTTATTTTTACATTCCAACTTACCTCACCAATATAATGGGATTTGTATTCGGATTAAGTACATCTGACCTAAGGTTTTCTTTATAACAAGTAAGAAAGTATAGTCGGGCGTGGCCGACCATATGATACCCTACACCAGTTATGAATATTAAATGTGATTTATTTATCATAATAAAGCATTTATCTTCAATATTCCCTTGTTCCGATACATTTAAGCAATTTATGGATGAAAAACTAATTTTCTGAAAGATGCTTTATATGGGGGCTAGGGGCAAATATGGACCAAGCCCGATAAAATTTTGTGAATATATTTATATTTACATAATATTTTATTGTGCTGAATTTCATCACGATATTTGTGTTTATAAGTTAATTTGGGACATTCAAGTAATTTTCTGAAGAGGACTTTGTATGGGAGCTAGGGTCAAATGGGGCCCGATCTTTATGAAATTTGGCAGGGTCATCAAGACTTCTATAAAACTTAGTTGTGCCGTATTTTATCGATATATCTATATATTTAACATAATTATGAGCTCAGAAGCCCTTTTCGGGGGGTTCTGTTCTATGGGCGCTAGGTGAAATAATGGACCGATTTTAGCCATTTTCAATAGGCTTCGTCCTTGGGTCAAATAAAACTTGCGTGCTAAATTTCATCCAATTATCTTGAAAATTGCGACCTGTACCTTGCGCAACAAGTTTACATGGACAGCCAGCCAGACGGACGGACGGACGGACATAGCTTAATCGACTCAGAAAACGATTCTAAGCCGATTGGTATACTTGAAGGTGGGTCTAGGACGAATATTTTTGTATGTTACAAACATCAGCACAAATCCAATATACCCTCCCCACTAAAGTGGTGTAGGGTATAAAAATAAATGTGCATGAGTTTACCAAAGGTCGGTTGCATACCGCATATTTGGGTCCTAATTATCCTCTTGTGATACCTGCATAGATATTATAAGAAGAATATATGGTGGCGAGAGTGCATAGAGTTTATTTTGAAGTATAGATACGAGAAGAAAACTGTATTAAAAGAAAAAGAATAATAATTAGGGGAATAGAAAGGGAGACAGCAGACACTCTTTTTGATGCGATCATAGGCGATTGTACCCAAACCAGTTGCATTGTCTGAGGCCATCTCGCCCTATGCTAGATATGTAATGATGACAAGTCATCAAATAACTAATCGTTGCCCTAAATATTCAAAGCGAAAGTCTTCTAATGCAAGACAATGTCATAGAAGGTGGTCTATTGAATCCTCTTCTTCCTCATCATGACAACTCCTAAAGAAGTGGTTACTCTGTTTTTAATAGAAAATTGTATAAATGATCTTTCTATTGAAAGTTATATGTAAAATCTTTTTTCTATAGCAAATTGTGCATATAACAGTTTTTTATAGCGCTAATGATATGTATAACACTTTTACTAATGAAAATTTTTTTGATAACACTTGTTTCTATAGAAAATTTTGTATATAACAATTTTCTCTATAGAAATAATAGTTATTTTTGTAAAAACGGTGTATGTAGCACAATATTGCTAGAGTTTTCTTTACAGAAAAATGTGAAAACTTGAAACGTTTAAGTTTTTTTGTATATAACGCTTGATATAATCCGCGTATTCTAATAAGAATCCCAATTGGAAATATTTAATGTTAAAATGCTTCTAACAAAAAAGCACTAAATACACAACACTAAAAAAGCAAAAAATACACACGGTAGTATTTTTCTCCAGTACGTATGTGCGCTTGTAAGTTTATGCATTCTGCGAGCGCACCAAAAAAAAGAGAAAAACAACAACAAAAAATACACCACCGCCTAGCGACGACTACAACAATAAATGTATGTAGTACATTTTTTTCTGAATTTAAAGTACTTGATACATAAAGTGTAGTAAAATAATTCGGGAAAAGTATTATTTTGGATAATTCATGACGAAGAAGAATAATCATCATCGATGATACACTCGCACGCAAAGCAAACTTTCATACTTCATAATGAACATTTGCCAGGCAGCACAAGCACTGTGTGACTGAGAAGTCAGCAGCAACTTAACTTAGTTTTGAATATTTTGCTGATAATGTATACAGAATAAAATGTTTTTTTTTTTTTATTTCAAATACATATTCATCAAAATTCACCAAAAAAAAAAGAACAGAAACAATTTCGCTTACCAGCAATAATAATTATTTAATATTTTAAGTTTTTTTTTTAGAAAAAATAGCAAATTTTAAACTTCAAATGAGAAAAACTCCCTTTTATTCTTGTTGGTATCCTTAATACACAACTCCCTAATTCTGCTGCTGCTTCTTATTTGCTCTTTTTTGGTATATTCCTTCAACTCCCCACACCCCCTCCCTATATTCCAAAAAAAAAAAAACACCCAACCAACAATATGTACTCTCTTTCAACAGCACAAACACACAAACAAATTGTAATCATTTTCATTTAATTTTCTTTTTTTCTCGTTTTTCACTTTATATTTTCCTTCCATTAAGGGTGTAGTAATTGTATAGACCAGAGGAGAATCTCCGAGAAAATATCATGTATTTGAATTTCCTCAGAGATTCTTGTATTTTTTCTGTATATTTTTCTCGTTTTTTTTACGGTTTTCCTTCTTTTCCATACTTATTTTTTTCTCTATGTATACATTTAGGGGGAGCACTTTGCTCCTTTTTCTTTTCGTTTTTTTTTTTTTGCTTTTTTGCAGTATGCTAACACACCACTGTATAGTAGAGGATTTTTTCTTTTGCAAAATGATTAATTATTTTAATGTAGTTTATCACTATTATTTACCACTTTTATAAATATTGCACTATGGGGGGTTTTTTCGTTAATTTTCTGTTAATTTATTTCTTTAATTTAAGTTATTTTGTGCGAAAATAATTTTTCTATATATTTTTTCTTCTCCGTTCGTGCGGCCCGCAAACTTTTTTCTACCTCTGCTATTGTACCAGGGTTGTTAAAAGTGTTAGAACAAATTTTTTTGTTGTTTGACACCCTACAGAGTTGTATGCGCTAGGTAGTAGTTTTGCCATGTAAAAACGGCCTTTTGTAATCTAAAACAGAAGAAACAAGAATTTATATAAATATTTATGAAAAAATAATAATAATTAGAAAAAAAGTATTACTATTTAAAGAAAAAATGTTCCATAAATATCAAATATAACTATTTTTATAAAAATCCTTGAAAGAAATATTAAAAAAAACTATTAGGATCGTGTTTATGCTCTAATAATAATGCAACACTACAGTTTACTAGAAAGCAAGGGTAATGCAGTATGTAGGTAATGCGGTTTAGTAAAAGATATAACGGTTTTAAAAATGATAAACTATTTTCTTGTCTTGTTTTCATTTCGTTTTAGGGCTGAGAATTTTAAACATTTTTTAATTAAACGGCCTTCTAACTAAACAAATCTTTTACGTTAAAACCATCAGCCGATTTTTATTGCAATACAATCGATTTTTTCTATCACAATTCTTTCTTTTTTACTAAAAATTTTGTTTTTATTAGATTTTTACACAAAAAAAAAACTGTTTTCATTCAAAATTGTATTTTTCACTTTAAATAAAAACTTAATTTTTCACTTAAAGTTCGATTTCTCATGAAAAACTTGACTTTTTCAATATTTCACTAAAAATACGATTTTTTATTAAAAATTCGATTTTTCACTAAAAATTCGATTTTTCAATAAAAATTCGATTTTTTATTAAAAATTCAATTTTTTTATTAAAAATTAGATTTTCACTAAAATTTTAATTTATCATGAAAAACTCAATTTTCACTAAAAATTAAATTTTCTACTTAAAATTTAATTTTTCACAAACATTTTACTTTTCACCAAAAAATTCGCTTTGCTGCAAAAAAAATTGATTTTCACCAATTATTCGCACTTCTTAAAAAGATAGATAGATAGATAGATAGATAGATAGATAGATAGATAGATAGATAGATAGATAGATAGATAGATAGATAGATAGATAGATAGATAGATAGATAGATAGATAGATAGATAGATAGATAGATAGATAGATAGATAGATAGATAGATAGATAGAGATAGATAGATAGATAGATAGATAGATAAATAGATAGATAGATAGATAGATAGATAGATATAGATAGATAGATAGATAGATAGATAGATAGATAGATAGATAGATAGATAGATATAGATAGATAGATAGATAGATAGATAGATAGATAGAAAGATAGAAGATAGATAGATAGATAGATAGATAGATAGATAGATAGATAGATAGATAGAGATAGATAGATAGATAGATAGATGATAGATAGATAGATAGATAGATAGATAGATATACATAGATACAGATACATAGATACATAGATACATAGATAGATAGATAGATAGATAGATAGATAGATAGATAGATAGATAGAAGATAGATAGATAGATAGATAGAAGATAGATAGATAGATAGTAGATAGATAGATAGATAGATAGATAGATAGATAGATAGATAGATAGATAGATAGATAGATAGATAGATAGATAGATAGATAGATAGATAGATAGATAGATAGATAGATAGATAGATAGATAGATAGATAGATAGATAGATAGATAGATAGATAGATAGATAGATAGATAGATAGATAGATAGATAGATAGATAGATAGATAGATAGATAGATAGATAGATAGATAGATAGATAGATAGATAGATAGATAGATAGATAGATAGATAGATAGATAGATAGATAGATAGATAGATAGATAGATAGATAGATAGATAGATAGATAGATAGATAGATAGATAGATAGATAGATAGATAGATAGATAGATAGATAGATAGATAGATAGATAGATAGATAGATAGATAGATAGATAGATAGATAGATAGATAGATAGATAGATAGATAGATAGATAGATAGATAGATAGATAGATAGATAGATAGATAGATAGATAGATAGATAGATAGATAGATAGATAGATAGATAGATAGATAGATAGATAGATAGATAGATAGATAGATAGATAGATAGATAGATAGATAGATAGATAGATAGATAGATAGATAGATAGATAGATAGATAGATAGATAGATAGATAGATAGATAGATAGATAGATAGATAGATAGATAGATAGATAGATAGATAGATAGATAGATAGATAGATAGATAGATAGATAGATAGATAGATAGATAGATAGATAGATATATAGATAGATATATAGATAGGTAGATAGATAGATAGATAGATAGATAGATAGATAGATAGATAGATAGATAGATAGATAGATAGATAGATAGATAGATATATAGATAGATAGATAGATAGATAGATAGATAGATAGATAGATAGATAGATAGATAGATAGATAGATAGATAGATAGATAGATAGATAGATAGATAGATAGATAGATAGATAGATAGATAGATAGATAGATAGATAGATAGATAGGTTAATTTGTTTATGGCATGCACATTCCTGCACATCCCAAAGGATTTGATTTAGATCCTAACATCCCCAAATAAAGTCATCTTTTTCATCACACCCTGTAACACCTGTATTTTTATTTTAAATCAAAACCATTTTATATTTTTACAAATATTTTTATTTTAAATTTTTATTGTATTTTGAAAAATTTTGTTAAATGGGTTTAAGTGTAACTAAAAAAGAGAAAAAAAAAACTAAAGAAAATTATATAAAATATAAAACTTTTAATAAATCTTATTATTGCTTTTGCCTTAATTTATTAAAAACAAATTTTATGTTAATTTGTTTAAAAAACAAAATATAAAATAAAACTAAGTTTAAACAAAACGAAATAAAAATGTTTGTTTGGTTGGTAGTTTAGTTTTTGTTGTTTTTTTTTTTTGTAAATTGTACAATTAATAATTTACACTAAAATTTTGTTTAAATATAATATGATGGTGTTTTTAATGTTTTTTTTAATAATTTGAAGTTTGTTTCTTTTAATTGTTTTAAATAATTAATGCACCTTATAAGACAAAGAAAAAGCTTGTTTACTAATTTATTATAATTATTATTATTGTTGATTTTTTTGTTTTGTTTTTGTAGTTTACTAATAAGATTTGTTTGTTTAATCAATTGTTTAAATGAACAACAAACACACTTTGATTACATAGAAGTTATTTTTGTTTTTCTGTAGTTTTATATAGAATTTTTGTTTTCTGTTTAATGTTAAAATTAAAAATTGTTTTTGTATTTTGTTTAATATTTATTTTGTTGTTTTGTTTTTGTAAGTATGTATAATATATATATATATTTTTTGTATAAGCTAATGATTTCGTACTTAAAAACTAATATCCTTTTCTTGTTTTTTTTTATGTATTATATTAAATTTGTTTTCTTTTATACCATTTCTTTATTATTATTTTTATTTTTTATATACCAAAGAAGAGTTAGCTTTCAAAATATATATGTTTAAGTCCGTTATATGCTAAATATTTTATTACAAATTTATTTATTTATTTCTTAACCATTTTCCTGTTTTTAATAATTCTTTTTTTTTTTTTTAATTTCTTTAACATAACATAATAATAAAATAATTAAAAAATTATATTTGATAAAATAAACACAAAATCTATATAAAAATTTAAATTTATTTTTAAGGCTTTATTTTAAAATATATATTTTTTTATTCTTTTTCCTCAATTATACAAAATAATTTTTACGAACAATTGAAATCCATTATAAACCGATAACTAAAGGAGGGTTTCCAAAAGCATTAAAGACCAATTATAATCAACTATTGCCAACAAAATAAAAGAAAAACTCCTTCAATTTCCAATATTTAAATTTAGTAAAACATTTATAAAAAACCGAATCGTGGAACTGCGTTTTCCTCAGCATCCGAAAAGTTCTTCCCTAAAGAGAAATTCCTTCCGAATGTAAAACTGTTTCACCAAAAACCATTTTCCTTCAACATTTTTTTATTGCAGAAAAGCCTGCGAATTCGCCTTAAGATAACAATTTTGTCCGAATAGAAAGGATGTCTGATTCAGAGCAACTTTTTCTAACGAAAAGTTGTTTAAATCAGAGCAACTTTTTCTAAAGAAAATTTTTACTTATTCAGAGCAACTTTTTCTATAGAAAAGTTGACTAAATCAGAACAACTTTTTCTACAGAAAAGTTATCTAAATCAGAACAACCTTTTCTATAGATAAGTTATCTAAATCAGAGTAACTTTTTCTATAGAAAAGTTGTCTAAATAAGAGTAACTTTTTCTATAGAAAAGTTGTCTAAATCAAAGCAACTTTTTCTAAAGAAAAGTTGTCTAAATCAGAGCAACTTTTCTATAGAAAAGTTGTCTAAATCAGAGCAAATTTTTCCATAGAAAAGTTGTTTAAATCAGAGTAAATTTTTCTAAAGAAAAGTTCTATAAATCAGAGCAACTTTTTCTATAGAAAAGTTGTTTAAATCAAAGCAACTTTTTCTAAAGAAAAGTTGTCTAAATCAGAGCAACTTTTTCTTTAGAAAAGTTGTCTAAATCAGAGCAACTTTTTTTATAGAAAAGTTGTCTAAATCAGAGCAACTTTTTCCATAGAAAATTTATTTAAATCAGAGCAAATTTTTCTAAAGAAAAGTTATCTAAATCAAAGCAACTTTTTCTATAGAAAAGTTGTCTAAATCAGAGCAACTTTTTCTATAGAAAAGTTGTCTAAATCAGAGCAACTTTTTCTATAGAAAAGTTGTCTAAATCAGAGCAACTTTTTCTATAGAAAAGTTGTCTAAATCAGTGCAACTTTTTCTATAGAAAAGTTGTCTAAATCAGAGCAACTTCTTCTATAGAAAAGTTGTCTAAATCAGAGCAACATTTTCTGTAGAAAAGTTCTCTAAATCAGAGCAACTTTTTCTATAGAAAAGTTGTCTGATTCAGAGCAACTTTTTCTATAGAAAAGTTGTCTGATTCAGAGCAACTTTTTCTATAGAAAAGTTGTCTGATTCAGAGCAACTTTTTCTATAGAAAAGTTGTCTGATTCAGAGCAACTTTTTCTATAGAAAAGTTGTCTGATTCAGAGCAACTTTTTCTATAGAAAAGTTGTCTGATTCAGAGCAACTTTTTCTATAGAAAAGTTGTCTGATTCAGAGCAACTTTTTCTATAGAAAAGTTGTCTGATTCAGAGCAACTTTCTCTATAGAAAAGTTGTATGATTCAGAGCAACTTTCTCTATAGAAAAGTTGTCTGATTCAGAGCAACTTTTTCTATAGAAAAGTTGTCTGATTCAGAGCAACTTTTTCTATAGAAAAGTTGTCTGATTCAGAGCAACTTTTTCTATAGAAAAGTTGTCTGATTCAGAGCAACTTTTTCTATAGAAAAGTTGTCTGATTCAGAGCAACTTTTTCTATAGAAAAGTTGTCTGATTCAGAGCAACTTTTTCTATAGAAAAGTTGTCTGATTCAGAGCAACTTTTTCTATAGAAAAGTTGTCTGATTCAGAGCAACTTTTTCTATAGAAAAGTTGTCTGATTCAGAGCAACTTTTTCTATAGAAAAGTTGTCTGATTCAAAGCAACTTTTTCTTTAGAAAAGTTGTCTGATTCAGAGCACTTTTTCTATAGAAAAGTTGTCTGATTCAGAGCAACTTTTTCTATAGAAAAGTTGTCTGAATCTGAGCAACTTTTTCTATAGAAAAGTTGTCTGAATCTGAGCAACTTTTTCTATAGAAAAGTTGTCTGAATCTGAGCAACTTTTTCTATAGAAAAGTTGTCTGAATCTGAGCAACTTTTTCTATAGAAAAGTTGTCTGAATCTGAGCAACTTTTTCTAAAGAACAATGTCTGAGTCCGAGCCATTTTTTCTAAAGAAAAGTTGTCTGAAACAAAGCAACTTTTTCTAAAGAAAAGTTGTCTGAATCAGAGCAACTTTTTCTAAAGAAAAGTTGTCTGATTCAGAGCAACTTTTTCTAAAGAAAAGTTGTCTGATTCAGAGCAACTTTTTCTAAAGAAAAGTTGTCTGATTCAGAGCAACTTTTTCTATAGAAAACTTGTCTGATTCAGAGAAACTTTTTCTATAGAAAAGTTGTCTGATTCAGATCAACTTTTTCTAAAAAAAAATTGACTGATTCAGAGCAACTTTTTCTAAAAAAAATTGCCTGATTCAGAACAACTTTTTTCTGAAATTTATTTTCTAAAATTTTTATAAAAATTACGAAGAAATTTTTAGTTAAATAAAATTTTAAATAAAATTATCCAATAAGAAAAACCAACAATTAGATGATGTTTTTTTATAATTACGTTTTTTTTTTATCAAAAATTTCTATTTTTAAAACTTAAAGTTTCTAATATTTTAATTACGTTTTTAATTTCAATTACTATAATCTTGTTGAGAAAAATCATTTTTGCCACTGGAGTTTTATTTTCGTTTCCATAATAAAAATTTCTAAAATAAAAAAATTATAAATTAAAAAAAAATCGTATTTTCTTTATGTGTTATTTTTTTGTTAACAACAAAGAAAAGCTTTAAATAATAATAATAACATACAAAATGACAAACTAATTTGTTGTTTCGATTATTCATGTTTTTTTTTCCTTTCAGTTTTCCTTATTTAGAAGGCTTGAGGAGTAGTTGTAGAAGTTGTAGGAGGAGAAATAGAACAATTGGAAGTAGTTGAAAGTGCTGTTGTTGTTGTTGTTGCAGTAGTTTTATGGGCCATAGATGTTTTACGTGTTAAACAAGTGTTGGTGGCAAAAATCGATCGTTGATTTAACTTGAGGCCGAAAAAGGGATAACGTTCAAACATCTTTAGCTAAGGCTGAGAAGGTCAATTTTTTGGAAACACATCAGCAATATTGACAAAAGCACAAGCGCCTATGGAAGCTTGAGCCATAACCTTGAGTAATTCATTGGCATGGGCAACACAATATTCCAATGGTGGCCATTTGGAAAAGTTCATTGATTCTGCAAAAAAAGAATTCCACAAGAATTAAAGACACATAATAGAAAAACTTACAATGTAATTATAACAAACATACCTAATATGGCTGAATTTAAAGCTCTACAAACAGTCTCTCTTTTTGTTGGGCATAATTGCCAGCCTAAAGGACTTGCCCAAGGATTTGAATAGGCAATTAAACTAAATGCATCCTGGGAAACAAATCAAATTATATATTTAAAATCAACACACATATAAAGTTGTTTTTTTACACTTTACCTCCAACATTTGCCTCTCTTCATCAGTCATTTTATTTTCTTTCTCTAATTGTTGGCCCATTTGTGAGAGATCTTTACCAAATTCTAAAATACGTTCAATACCATGACTATATTTTCTTACTGAGGGTAAAACATCCACATCTGTCAAGACTTGTTATTAATATTTAAGTATTTTATGGATATAAATCAATAAACTTACCCATATCTTCATCGGCATCTATAGAATCATTGAAATTATTTGTATTGCCATTTTTACAAACGTTACCTGGAATTGAAAAGAAAAAGAATTTAATATAAATGTCACCCATATTCTGACAACTTTTCTATAGAAAATGTCTCCCAAATTTTGAAATCTTCACTATAGAAAAAATCTCCCAAATTCTGTCAACTTTTCTATAAAAAAAGTTGATCTGAATCAGACAACTTTTTTATAGAAAAAGTTGCCCTGAATCAGACAACTTTTCTGTAGAAAAAGTTACTCTGAATCAGACTACTCTTCTATAGAAAAATTGCTCTGAATCAGACAAATTTTCTGTAGAAAAAATTGCTCTGAATCAGACAACTTTTCCATAGAAAAAGTTGCCCTGGATCAGACAACTATTCTATAGAAAAAGTTGTTCTGAATCGGACAACTTTTCTATAGAAAAAAATTGCTCCGAATCAGACAACTTTTCTATAGAAAAAGTTGCTCTGAATCAGACAACTTTTCTATAGAAAAAGTTGCTCTGAATCAGACAACTTTTCTATAGAAAAAGTTGCTCTGAATCAGACAACTTTTCTATAGAAAAGTTGCTCTGAATCAGACAACTTTTCTATAGAAAAAGTTGCTCTGAATCAGACAACTTTTCTATAGAAAAAGTTGCTCTGAATCAGACAACTTTTCTATAGAAAAAGTTGCTCTGAATCAGACAACTTTTCTATAGAAAAAGTTGCTCTGAATCAGACAACTTTTCTATAGAAAAGTTGCTCTGAATCAGACAACTTTTCTATAGAAAAAGTGGCTCTGAATCAGACAACTTTTCTATAGAAAAAGTTGCTCTGAATCAGACAACTTTTCTATAGAAAAAGTTGCTCTGAATCAGACAACTTTTCTATAGAAAAAGTTGCTCTGAATCAGACAACTTTTCTATAGAAAAAGTTGCTCTGAATCAGACAACTTTTCTATAGAAAAAGTTTCTCTGAATCAGACAACTTTTCTATAGAAAAAGTTGCTCTGAATCAGACAACTTTTCTATAGAAAAAGTTGCTCTGAATCAGACAACTTTTCTATAGAAAAAGTTTCTCTGAATCAGACAACTTTTCTATAGAAAAAGTTGCTCTGAATCAGACAACTTTTCTATAGAAAAAGTTGCTCTGAATCAGACAACTTTTCTATAGAAAAAGTTGCTCTGAATCAGACAACTTTTCTATAGAAAAAGTTGCTCTGAATCAGACAACTTTTCTATAGAAAAAGTTTCTCTGAATCAGACAACTTTTCTATAGAAAAAGTTTCTCTGAATCAGACAACTTTTCTATAGAAAAAGTTGCTCTGAATCAGACAACTTTTCTATAGAAAAAGTTTCTCTGAATCAGACAACTTTTCTATAGAAAAAGTTTCTCTGAATCAGACAACTTTTCTATAGAAAAAGTTTCTCTGAATCAGACAACTTTTCTATAGAAAAAGTTTCTCTGAATCAGACAACTTTTCTATAGAAAAAGTTTCTCTGAATCAGACAACTTTTCTATAGAAAAAGTTTCTCTGAATCAGACAACTTTTCTATAGAAAAAGTTGCTCTGAATCAGACAACTTTTCTATAGAAAAAGTTGCTCTGAATCAGACAACTTTTCTATAGAAAAAGTTGCTCTGAATCAGACAACTTTTCTATAGGAAAAATTGCTCTGAATCAGACAACTTTTCCATACAAAAAGTTTTTGTGAATCAGACAACTTTTCCATAGAAAAAGTTGTTCTGAATCAGACAAATTTTCTATAGAAAAAGTTGCTCAGATTCTGACATTATTTCTATAAAAGAAATTGCTGAGATTTCATAGAAAAGTTCTCAGATTTTTTCTATAGAAAAAGTTATTCAATTTGTCTTTATACATACCATTTGTTGTATGACCATTATTCTCCATTTCCACATCATTTAAATAGTCATTATCGTTATTACTTTTACTTATTGTTGTGGGAGAATCATTGGAGGTTGAACAATGCTCAACTAAATTACTGCAAATATAACAAAAAAAAAAATAATAATAATTTCTATAAATATCAAAAACATATATTTAATTTTTAAACTTACGAATGAGTTTTTATATCATTATCTGTATTTATCACAGTTATGTGGCTTAAGTTCTGTGCAATATTTATTGTATCAATTGCTGCTGTTTGAGTTGTACTGCAACTGTTGTTCGTGGTGGTGTTGGTAGTATCAGCTGTCGCATCTACGACTGCTAATGAAGCTGTTGTTGTTGTTGTTGATGTAGAGGCATCGGTAGTTCCACTACCATTACTGCTGTTATTTGCTCCACCGTTACCATTCTGATACAATTTTGTAGATTGTATGACCGAAGTTTGATTTGGAGCAGAAGTTTGTGTTGTTATTGTATTAGTAGTTTTATTAGCAGTTGAAGAAGAAGGGCAGTACTATTGTAAAGTACATGGTCGTTGGAAGAGAATGTTATTGTATTTTGCCCAAAAACAGAGAAAAGCAATAGTGGTATATAGTTCAAAAAAATGAGAGTAAGAATAAAGTGAAAGAGAGAGTAAACAAAACATTAATTTAGAATTCAGTGATAAGGGAATTTGAAATTAAAATACCTCAATATCGGAACCATTAATCATTTCTATAAATTGTCTACACTTTAGCATAAACCAAAGATTTTTATTATTCTCCAATAGACCAGGATACATACGCATAGTCTGTTCTATAGCTTGACCCATTTTGCCAGACATGACCAATTTTAATATTTCTATAAGATAATAAAATAAGAAAACAAACACCAATTACAAAACGGACATCTTTTCAGGCATTGTATTTGTTGAAGCCTACTTTGACGATTACGTATGGAGGTTATATCTTCTCTTTGACTTTGTCCTGTTTTTTGTCTAGCAAACGCTTCAGCTGTTTGACTGTAACCATTATGCACCAAATATGAATTAACCATTCTGTAATATAAAGTTTGATTCATATTAAGTGTATTTTGGAATGTTTTCATTATTAAAATTACTTTTGTAAAAGTGTTGTGGGATCTCCTTGCTCAGCACGCAATGGAAAATCGTATATAGCGGCTTTTATTTCACCTCTCATTTGTTTCATCATGTCTTCAATTTGATCGAATTTAAAAGGCTCTTGTCCAAAATTAGCATCAACTTCTTCACCGGGTGTCTGTAATCCAACCGTGGGGTAAAGTTTTGTCTAAAAAAAAGTTAAAGAAATATATTATATAGAATACTTTTCTATAGAAAAAGTTGCTCTGAATCAGACAACTTTTCTAGAGAAAAACTAGCTCCGCATCAGACAACTTTTCTATAGAAAGAAAAACTTGCTCTGAATCAGACAACTTTTCTATAGAAAAAGTTGCTCTGAATCTAACAACTTTTCTATAGAAAAAGTTGACCTGAATCAGACCTCTTTTCTATAGAAAAAGTTGGTCTAAATCAGACAACTTTTGTATAGAAAAAGTTGCTCAGTATAAGACAACTATTCTATAGAAAAAGTTGCTTTGTATCAGACATTTATTCTATAGAAAAAGTTGCTTTGAATCAGACAACTATTCTATAGAAAAAGCTGCTCTGAATCTGAAAACTTTTCTATAACAAAAGTTGTTCTGTATATGAAAACTTTTCTATATAAAAAGTTGCTCTGAATCGGACAACTTTTCTTTAGAAAGAGTTGCTCTGAATCAGACACCTTTTTATATAGAAAAAGTTGCTCTGAATCACACAACTTTTTATATAGAAAAAGTTGCTCTGAATCACAGAACTTTTTATATAGAAAAAGTTGCTCTGAATCACACAACATTTTATATAGAAAAAGTTGCTCTGAATCTGACAACTTTTCTATAGAAAAAGTTGCTCTGAATCTGACAACTTTTCTACAGAAAAACTTGCTCTGCATCAGACATTCATTCTATAGAAAAAGCTGCTCTGAATCTGAAAACTTTTCTATAACAAAAGTTGTTCTGTATATGAAAACTTTTCTATAGAAAATGTTGCTCTGAATCTGACAACTTTTCTATAGAAAAAGTTGCTCTGAATCACACAAATTTTTATATAGAAAAAGATGCTGTGATTTTGACTACCTTTCCGTAGAAAAAATCGCTCTAAATCATACAACTTTTCTATGGAAAAAGTTCCTCTTAATCGGATAACTTTTCTATAAATAAAGTTGCTCTAAACTTACCGGTAAATCTCTGAAAGCTATACCCAAATCAATGCCATTCTTTGTATAAAAACAAGTATTATCAACGAAATTCACACAACAACCAATAATGTCGCCTGTGGTAAAAGTTGGACCATACGATTGACCATGACCAGATGATGAAAATGAATTACCATCGTCACCATGATAACCATAAGATTGTTTATCCCAACCTTAGTTAAAAGAAAGTAAGAAATAATATGAAAAATATTATAAATAAATCAATAATTACAATAATGGTGCACACTTTACCTGGTAAACGATTCATACGAAACTGTTGAGCTGTTAAACCAATACCCATATAACCATTTTTGCCTTTCGATATAATTTTCACTTCAAAATAATAGATGCCACAAGCTGGTGGTATGGGATGTGCAGTACGTACTGAAGCTGCATCATTACTTTGTTTACCTACTCCTAGGCAAAGGGCATAAAAATCATAATATAAAAGAAAAGAAGTAAAAAAAATTCATAAGTTTATGTTTTATATCAAAAATGTTAGCTCTCTCTCTCTTAAAAAAAGAGTATAATTTGACAGTTTGTTTTGAATGTGAAAACAGCTGTTGAAAAGTACAAAAAAAAATCACGCGAATGTGATAAACAAAGCAAATGAATTTCAAAACAAAGACAAGCTGTTTTTGTTTTATACAAAAAGGGGAAATGTTTGTTAAACAAAAACAAATACAAATAAAAACAAACTGTTACTTTATGTTAATGTTGCTTAAGTTAGAGTGAGACAGTTATAGTGTTTTACAATAAGAACAAAAAAATACTTTCGTTAAAATTGCATTTTTGTGGTTTGTTGTTTTGTTATAGAAAATCAGGAAGAGAAGTAAATAGGAAAAAATAAAGAAATATAAAAAATATTCAAAACAAAACAATTAAATTGCAAAATAAAAAGTTACATTTATAGGAAATTTTTATAAAAAAATAATTTAAAATAAATTTTTTATTAATTGTCTAATTATTAGCAACTGGTTTTTTTATATTTCTCTTTCTATTGTTATATGAAAGATGTTGATGTTTGATCCAGAGTATAGATTTTGTTTTATTTCTGGTGGTGGACATCCTGCAAGTCGTTATGGTGGAGAATTCATGTTTCAATAAAGAATAAGCAACTTGCTTTTAACCTGATCATGTCCTTTAAGAATGCTAATGGTCCTACATTTTAATTAAATAACAAATGAACCATCAACTCTTCAATATAGCAGATTTAAAGTGTCACTACTCTCTAGACTATTTAGCTACACTCAAGTAAGTAATGTCTCACATATTTACTCCTTCTAGCTCTTAACAAACAATGTCACAAAAAAGGGTTACATACAAATCTACTGGTTGTCTGCCTATCCTGCTGACTGGGTTACAAGTAGAAGAATATGTATGTTTTCATTTTTTACTTTATGTATTTTACTTTAATAACAAATAACCAAAAAAAAAAAAGTGGGATGTTATACATATGTACACAGTTGTTTGTATAAAAAGAAGTACACAACATATTCCTGTACAATTCCTTTTTGAGTTTTTTTTTTGTGAAGTTACATTGCACTTTCCATTCAAGTTCATTGCTCCCTGTTTGTTTTATTGTTGGTTTATTTATTTCTGTCACTTTATTTTTATAACTCCTCTTAAAACGGGGGAAGTTTTCTATAATTTGAACTTAAAGGGGAAGTGTTGAAGAGACTGATAGACATTGTTATAAATAATTTATTATTTCTGTCACAAAAAACTCCTTAAAAATGGAAATTTTGAGTTTTAAAAATGTCCTTCAATGTATCAGAACATTCAGGTCTATAGAAGGAGATGAGGCTTACCAAGTGGACCGGAATACTACACAAGTTTTAGAGAGGATAGGAATATTTCTCTAGAAGCAGTGTTATCTCTAGAATAATTGTTTGAATCTGAACAACTTTTTTTCTAGAAAAGTAGTCAGAATATGAGCAACTTTTTCTCTACAAAATTTGCCAATATCTGAGCAAATATTCGTATAGAAAAGTTTTCACAATCTGATCAACTTTTCCTATAGATAAGTAGTCATAATCTGAGCATTTTTTTCTATAGAAAAGTTGTCACAATCTGAGCAACTTTTTCTATAGAAAAGTCGTCACAATCAGAGCAACTTGTTCCTTAGAAAAGTTGTGAAATTCTGAGCAACTTTCTCAATAGAATAGTTGTCACAATCTGAGCAGTTTTTTCTATAAAAAAGTTGTTATAATCTGAGAAACTTTTTCTATGGAAGAGTTATTACAATCTAAGCAACTATTTCTATAGAAAAGTTGTCACAATCTGAGCAACTTTTTCTATAGAAAAGTTGTCACAATCTGAGCAACTTTTTCTATAGAAAAGTTGTCACAATCTGAGCAACTTTTTCTATAGAAAAGTTGTCACAATCTGAGCAACTTTTTCTATAGAAAAGTTGTCACAATCTGAGCAACTTTTTCTATAGAAAAGTTGTCACAATCTGAGCAACTTTTTCTATAGAAAAGTTGTCACAATCTGAGCAACTTTTTCTATAGAAAAGTTGTCACAATCTGAGCAACTTTTTCTATAGAAAAATTGTCGAAATCTGAGCCACTTTTTCTATAAAAAAGTCGTCACAATCAGATCAACTTTTTCTATAGAAAAATTGTCACAATCTGAGCAACTTTTTTTTATATAAAAGTTTTCACAATCTGAGCAACTTTTTTTATATAAAAGTTGTCACAATCTGAGCAAACTTTTTCTACAGAAAAGTCGTTACATTCTGAGCAACTATTTCTATAGAAAAGTTGTCACAATCGGAGCAACTTTTTCTAAAGAAAAGTTGTCACAATCTAAGCAACTTTTTCTATAGAAAAGTTGTCACAATCGGAGCAACTTATTCTTTAGAAAAGTTGTCACAATCGGTGCAACTTTTTCTATAGAAAAGTTGTTACAATCTGAGCAACCTTTTCTATAGAAAAGTTGTCACAATCTGAGCAACTTTTTCTATAGAAAAGTTGTCACCATCTGACCAACTTTTTCTATAGGAAAGTTGTCACAATCTGAGCAACCTTTTCTATAGAAAAGTTGTCACAATCTGGGCAACTTTTTCTATAGAAAAGTTGTCGCAATCGGAGCAACTTTTTCTATAGAAAAGTTGTTACAATCTGAGCAACCTTTTCTATAGAAAAGCCGTCACAATATGTTACAATCTGAGCAACTTTTTCTAGAGAAAAGTTGTCACAATCTGAGCAACCTTTTCTATAGAAAACTTGTCACAATTTGAGCAACTTTTTCTATAGAAAACTTGTCACACTCTGAGCAACTTCTTCCCCAGAAAAGTTGTCAAGTTTCTCTTGCTGCGGTTGTAGTTGAAAGTAAACCATCTAAATAAATAACAATGAATTAATGACTAATTTATTTATAAATAAAATAACAACCAAATCTCTTGGCAAAAATCAACAGTTATTTATCTCGCATATGTACTTTTTAAAAAAACAAATAATAACATTTTAATTACCAAAAAAACAAGAAAAAAATCTGTACTCACCTTTAAAATGAACTCGTAAATTGTTTTGCGATAATCCAATCGATAGACACTTATCATGTGGACTCCAGCAACGCGGCAATGGTGTTTCGTTTTCATTGACATTTGGATACAATAACTTTAGACGATCGACAACTTGATTATTAGGGCTAGAGGCAATACCGCCACCGCCTAGACCACCAGATGTGGATGAACCGTGATTACGATCTGATGACATGCTGGTGCCAAACATAATATTATTGTTGCTGCTATTCAGGGTGGCACCGTTCGACTGTTGTTGTTGTTGTTGATTGTGTGTCGGTGATGATGAACGATATCCGTAAGGGTAAACACAAGGATGTTGATACGGATGAGCGTGTAAATGAAATTCACGTGGATTGTGATAATGATGATCGTAGGACGGTAAATGTTTAGATTCTTCCGTTTGTTGTGGTTGTTGTTGCTGCTGTTGAAGCAATAACGGCAGTGTTGTTGGTGGTTGTGGCGTTTGTTGCTGCTGCTGTTGTTGTCCCGATGATGAAGGACCAGCTGAACCTGAAGCGGAAGTATCTAAAGGAATAGATTGTTGTTGTTGCGGTTCTTGCTGCTGCTGTTGATTTGTTGCTAAAGCGTCGTCATTTCGCAAATTTAAATCCACATCGAAATCGTTATTATCGTTGTCATCTAAATGAATATCGTTTTGCCGCTGTTCTACTTCTACTTCTTCACCACTATTAGCTGCCTCCTGCGGATAAAGATGAGGATGTTGTTGATGTTCAGCATTCGCTTCTAATGGTTGTACAATGACAGCCGAAGCATCAATTGTATCAGCAATATCGTTACGATTTATTTGAGCAGTCAGCTGCTGCTCTCCACGCTCTTGCTGGGACTGACCCGCCGCCAATTGTTGCTGCAATGTTGCGGATGATGATGATGACGCTGATTCTATGGATGAAGCTGGCTGTTGTATTGATTGTGCTTGTGGTGCTGGTGAAGCTTGATGTTGTTGCTGTGGGGAGGAATAAGAAAAAGATGTACTGGGAATAGGACTTTGTTCATGTAACAATGACAATTGTTCTTGGTGGTGGGATTGTGCCAAGTTAGGGTGAATTTCATGAAATGTTTGTGATGATGATGATGATGAACTAGATGTAGTTGTAGTTGTTAATGATGATGAAGTGACTGATGTAGCAGCCGAAGAAGATGGCGAGGAAATGGTCAATGATATTGTGTTATTCGTAATTTGGGAACTAGAAGAAAGTACTTGAACAGAGAAAGCAGTAGTGGGGGGAGTTGTAACAAGTGGCGTATCGTTAAAATTATTATTGGAAAACGAATTAGCATTTGAGGAGTTAAAGGAGGGATTATTAAATAAACAGGGAGAAAATATTACTTGTGAAGGATTGGCTGAAGGTAAAAATGCTGAAGGTGGCAAGATGGCAAATGATGTTGCTGTTGTTGATATGGATGATGATGATGCTAATGATGAGGATGATGGCGGCAATGAAGAAGCCGACGACGACGACGACGTAGTCAATACAGCTAACTGCTCAGCACCTACCATTGGCTCCTCTCTACCAGCCGATGTTGAGGCGGCAGTTGTTGTTGCTGCTGCTGTTGTTATAGCAGAAGAACTAGAACTTGTAGTAGTAGTAATTGGAGCCAAGGTTGGCTGTTGCACTGAAGCTGATGCTGGTTGAGCTGCCGTTGCCATTGCCACTGTTACGGGTGGTTGTAATGGCATCGGTTCTTCATTTAAATCATCATCATTGCCATCCGCCTCGCCATCTGCCTCCTGTTCATCATCGTCCGTTGATCTCATAAATGGTAACATTGGCAAATGGCCTAAAAGATTGCTACTACTGCTATTATTACTACTACTCGACGATGCCGAAGCTGATGACGAATTCGGTTGATCGTTATCATTTTCAGAATCCATCTTTTTTCTTTATTTTACTTTCTTCTTATTTAGCCCTCAACTTTTTTTTTATCAATTTTCTTGCTTTATAATTGTTGGAAATTATTTTTATTTTTATTTTCGCTAAGTAAAATATAATTTAATGATTGGAAATATGCAGTAAATACCCTTTACATATATTTATTTAATATATATTTTTTTGAAATTTCTTTCTTTTTCTTTGCCCAGTTGTGTAGTAAAGAAAAGTTTTTTTGTAATATTTTTGATAAGAAATTTGCGTTCTTTTAATTTATTTGGTTTGGTTGCTTGATTGGCTGTTAGTTTGGCTTTGATTTGTTGTTTTAATAGAATCTATAAAATCAATTTGTTTGCAAATTATTTACTAGTTTTTATACGACGACGCAATGCCTGGAAATCGTGTATATTTAAAAAGGGGGAAAATAAAGAAACAAAATAAAAATATAATATTTAAGTTTTCTTTAGTCTTCATTTGTTTTAGCTCAAAAAGATAAATGTTTATAAAACAAAAAAATCTTTTTTTTTTTACAATTCAAACAATGTGACATCATCACCACCATATGCCAGATAGATTTTAAACAAAGATTTAAATATTTTTTCAGTCACGATTTTGAAAAACTCATATCTAAACTAGGATTTGTTTTTCAAAATAGTGTATATTAATAAAATTTTATATTAGTGGGAAGTTTTAACTTTTCTATAGAACTATTCCATAGAAAAGTCAGAATTTGAGAAACTTTGCTACAGAAAAGTTAAGAGATTCTAAACTACTTTTTCCATAGAAACGTTATCTGAATCTGAGCTACTTTTTCTATAGAAATGTTGTCAGCATTTGATCAGCTTTTTCTGTAGAAATGTTGTCAGAATCTTAACAACTTTTTCTATAGAAATTTCGCAGAATTTGAGCCACTTTTTCTTTATATAAACTGTCAGAATCTTAGTTGGAAACGTTGTCAGAATCTGAAGTAGTTTTCTCTAGAAAAGTTGTCAAAATCTGAACTACTTTTCCTATAGAAAAGTTGTCATAATCTGAACTACTTTTCCTATAGAAAAGTTTTCAGAATCTAAACTACTTTTTCTATAGAAAAGTTGTTGGAATCTGAACTTCTTTTCCTATAGAAAAGTTGTCAGAATCTGAACTACTTTTCCTATAGAAAATTTGTTAGAATCTGAACTACCTTTTCTCTAGAAAAGTTGTCAAAATCTGAGCTACTTTTCCATTAGAAAAGCTGCCAGAATCTGAGCTCCTTTTCTTTCAGAAAAATTTTCGGAATTTTAACCACTTTTTTCTTAAGAAAAGTAGCAGAATGTTTGTCATCCTAAATCACACTCAAAAGCGTGAAGTGTAGGTGTCCCCATGCACAAATCGTTTAGGAGAGAAAAAGGTGTTGTGGTGTCAACAGATCAGATTCAACAGATGTCATCGAACGGAATGATCTTAATGAGAAAATCCAAACCAAATATTGCCCCAAAGATACCATTTTTGGTGAATAGATCTGGAAAATTTCCAACTAATGACCGTTATAGTCCTCTTGTAAAGGAAAAGCTATTTTGAAAGTGTTCAGTCTTCATAAGTTAGATAAAGAAACCTGGTACAACACAATACCCTTAAAAATCTCAGCAAAGACACCATAAAGAGTGCAAGATCTAAAGATGATCAGTTCTCATGAAAGATGAAGAATCTTTAGAATGTTGTCATTAACCGGAATGATACTAATGGGAAGTTTAATATTGAACTATGAGAGCAGATTGAGAGAAGTCTCAGAAACAAATATCTAATCAGAGGAAAGATAAAATGACCTCAAACAACATTACCGAAGATTGCAGTTTAAACGAAGAACTTCGCAACACACCCTTCAATATCAATAACATTGAATATATGTCATCGATCGTCAGGATCCTAATAGAAAGATCATAAACAAAATATAACTGCTATTACACCAGAATTGAAGAAATGATCGGTAAGATCTTCTATCTGGTCGATCAGTTCTCAACAACTACGTGAATATGAAAAATTCCGAATGATTATGTTGAAAAGATCACTCGATTTATAAAGAGAATAGAGAATATATTGTTAAACTTTTCATATTAAGGTTTATATGGACGAACAGGCGAATTGAAATTAATCGTCTGTTGTTGTAATAGTTCCACTGTGGCCGATTGTTCTTTCATGGGATATAAACTTTCGTTTGTTAACGCTGCGCTAAGTTGACCATTTTTAGTCGAGTCATTCTAGAGCGAAAATCCAGTAGTTGTGCGAACTGAACTCTTCGGTACATTCTATCTGTATACTTTAACGTTAAACAAGTTCCAGTAATTCTAAACATACATAACACAGCATCAATACTAAAGCATTATACCTACCTACTCCTCTGTAATGAGGGGCATTACAAATATAAACAATTACTAATAAGAAACACACGACTCTTTTGTTACGATCCATTCATCCATCATTTTGTAATGAACAATAACCCCCGAAAATATTCATTCATACATATTAGGACTTTATTATTAAATTATTTTTAGAATATTAATAAAAATCTTTACACTTATCTGTATATAAAATTATGTTTTCTTTTTGAAGAATAATAATAAAACCAAACAGAATTTTTTCTTTTTAATATTAAAAAATATATAAAATTGTGCGCAGTAAATGTGGTCAAGGCTACAATGACCTAAATTTTCTATTCAAACAAAATGAAATTTACATTTTAAGACACTAGATAAATGCATTTTAATAACATTTATTCTCTATAGAGAATAAATATCTTTCAAGTAGAAGAAAAAAAAAAAAACTCTACAATTTAATAATTTTTGTATACACAATTTAAACAAATCACTTTTTTTTCTATAGTGAAATTATGAAACTTATTTTTGTACTTACAAAATAAATAATGGTTTTTCTTTGTTTTCAATTTCGTTTTTTACTCAACTGTTTGTTGTTCTTCTTTTTGTTTGCTGTTTGGTTAATTATTTACCAAATTAAATACTTGTTTTAATTTTCTTATTGTTTATAAACTGCTTTAGTTTTATTTTTTAAATTTCTTTAGTTAACATTTAATAAAAATTAAAAAATTGTTCTTTCTTTGTTATTTTTTTTCCTTTTAACAAAAATAATTCCAGTCTCTCTGAACTCAACTCTAAACTGCACACACAAAAAGAAAATACAAAAATTTACCAACAACAACAATGAAAAGAAACATACTCTCATTAATTAAAGTGTTGCCACATAAAGACAATACTATTTTATCATTGAAAAAAGTGTATTACAAGTTAATTTGGGAGTTGTGACTTTTTGCGTAGTAGATATTCTTAACTGCAGAGATTACAATTAAGGATTTATTAAATATATTAAATTTGTTTAATTTAATTTATAGAATCTACAAGTTAAATACATGCCAGTCACAAATTTCATTAAAGGTATTTTCAGACTACAATACTGAGTATTAATACTTGTCAAAAATGTTTGTATCATAATACAATTTACTAGTCTAAAGGCCCAAATAGACTACACAAGCGGCTTGACAAACATACCAATATTTTACGTTTGTGCAAGCCTGTTGTGTAGTGTAGGAGGGTGTTTCGTGTTTGTACAAATGCTTGCTGTTTGTTTGTACAAAAATTAAAAAATTTTGATTTTTACACAAACATATTGAATTTTTGACAAACCATTTGTATGGTTTATATTCATCAATAACAAATTTTTCAAAAAATTTACATTTTTAAGAAAAATTGATATCTGTATCTTTGAAAGTCCACAAAAAAGTGAAAAAATCGGTGTTTGTACGAGCAATGTTTGTGTAGTGTGTGTGCGAATGAAAAAAGTATGTTTGATAAGCCGCTTGTGTAGTCTATTTGGGCCTTAAATATAATTTGTAATTTGATTTTCAAAAATATTACTGATTTTTTTGGCATACGGTCGGTATTCATAAATTTTTTAAAACAATTCAAAAACTTTTTATTTTCATACGTATTCGTTATGTATTTTATAAATACAATAAAAAACAAACAAAAAAAAAATACATTAAAAATAAGAACGAAAAGTGCATAAATAATTGAAAATTGGATAAAAAATATTACAAATATTATAGTGTAAACATAAAATGTATTTTTCGGATTGATTTTTTGAAAATGCGAATTATTTTCATAATATTTTTAATTTGAAGTGTGTTAATACTCAGTATTGTAGTCTGAAAATACCTTAATAGATATTTTAAAAGCAAACTCGAAAATTTTCGAATATTTTCTTTTAGTTTTGGTTATAATCAGTGAAACCAAAATATGCAAATGCATGTTTTTATGGTGAATCTTGTGGACTCCTTGACAAGCTTCAGAACAATTGAATAATTTTGCCATCGATTTGTTGAATATGCGCTATTTTTGCATATTTTGCTCATAAGATCATAATTTAGAGTGATTTAAATAGCATTTACGGCATATCTCTAGGTTTTGGAGCATATTTTGATATTTTATGCTTTATTTTTATATTTCAAAATATCTTTGTAATTTGTTAGGGAAGAACTGTGGCGATTATTCATATAATTTATTGGTTATCTGAACGATAAAGTAATCTTAATAAACTTTAACAGATTGACTTCTAAAAAGAACATTTACTGCCATATGCAAAAACGTTTGTAAAAGTTACAATGGTTTACCACAAACTTTTTCCATATAAAAACATGTTGTAATAATCAATGACAACATATGCACGTAATAATCGTTTTTTAATAAGGCTGAAAGACTATATTTATTTAAACATTTATTTCTTCAAACACTGATACATTTTAATGTCTATTTCAGAAAATAATTTCGAAATCTTCAAAACTTCTATTTTAAGAGCATATTTTTCATTTTTACAGCATTTTTAAAATCTTAAGACTTTTTTTAGAACATATGTATATTATGTTTCCCTGGTTATCATTTTCTTCTTGAAATATTCTCTATTTTTAAGAAAGTATGAAAGCTCCTTATTTGGAGATTATTTTAAAAATTTTATCGCTTAATTGCGATATGAAGTTGAATTTCTAGATTTACATAATTAGACCAGCACGACACAGAAATAATTGTGATCATAAAAATGTTTAAAAATTTAAGAAAAACTAATAAAAGTTTTCACATTTCAAAATACATTTTTCTGAACATACATGGGAATTTTTCATTAAGCATTAAAATTTCATTACCATTTTAAGTACCATTTAATGAAAATTATATTTTTTTCATTATAATTTTTTTGATAATGGTAATGAATTTGATAATGAATTTTCTAAAACAAATTTAATTTGTATTTATAATTGTCGAAAAATATATTTGATAAGAATTCAGGAAAATTTTTCGAAGATTCGAGAACAGGTTTGAAAGCTTTTAAAACCAGTTCCCGTAGTCCAAATTAACTGAAATTTAGCAGTCATAAGTACATCTAATGACAATACAATAATATGTTCGAATATTCGAAGTTATTTTCGAAAAATTTTTTATGTTTTTAAATTAATCTGTGTCATAAAAACTAAAAAAAAAATTTTCGAAAATTCGAACTCGTGTTCGAAAAATTTTTAAAGCTGTTAAAACTAGCTCTTCTACTCCGAATGGGCTGAAAATTGGCATGCATGATTTCACCTAATGACAATACATTATATTCGAAATTAATTTCGAAATTCGAACTAATATTCGAAAATTTTTAAAATCCATTAAATAATGGTAATGAATATTTCTTTTTAACTAATTACTAATGAAATCGTTCCATTAAAAAGCATTACCATTAGACAAAATAATGCTAATGAAAAAAAAAAAAATAAATAATTATAATTTTTTTTTAATTTAATGCTAATGAAATCGTCAATTAATTAGTCGATATAAATAACTACTCCCATGTATGTTTCTGAAGAAGTGAAATATAAATAAATCTTTCTCAAGTTAGAATAAAAAAATATCTTAAGGCACTATTTTTGATGCGGGTCATATATTTCAAGTTTTTTTATAAATAAACAACATAAATACTGATATTTCTGTCTAGTCGGGGTAAGTCTGTGCTTTCTAGATCCAAAAATAATATATATTTTTCAACCTGATTGATACAATAATTTTAAAATAATGATATGCGACAATTCTTTCAAATAGAACTAAAAAACGAGCTAATTGATATTATAAAGAATAGAATTTGAAATTTTTCGTTATTAATACAAAAAAAAAAAAAAAATACAAACTAAGTCATTTGATTTGTCCGAGTTCTCTTCTCTTTTTTAAGAATTTTGAAAGATAGCTTTTCTAAAACGAAAAAATTTGCTGGTTTTACATTATTATAATAAAATTATAAATTTTCATGAGTTATTTCAAATTATCTTTTTTTCATATATTTTTAGTTTTTGTATAATAAATTCGATCATAATAAAAGCTAGCAAAAAAATTATTTCTATTTAGACATAATTGGCTTAAACTTTTAATTTGGCTTAAAATATTTGAATGCATTATTTCAATTTTCAATTCAGCTTGTAAGTTTCGAAAGTACCATTCTTTAAAATCATTCATATTGTTTGTTTACATTTATTAGTTGCTAGTCTGTAAAAATAATCAAAGATGACACAATATCGATATATTTTTAGCAACTAACGAAAGTTGTCGTCCATAATACCAAGTTTGGTTGCTATGCATAATCGACCAATTAAATCCTTGGCTTTACAATGCATTGAATTAATTCCTCAGATAATTCATTCTTTATATGAATGACTTCGAATGAATGATCATTCCAATTTGTTTAATTCCTTCTACTACTAAATGAATAAAAGAAAAATTGCTTAATTAAATTTTCAATATACATACAAAATGTTTTTTAATTATGAAACAAAACTTTCATTCAACAAACAAAATTAATTATATCAGAAGAAATTTAACGTTCTATAAGTATTAATTCATCAGGGAATTAAACTACATCGAAAGCTTTTAGAATTAATTATATGACTAGGGAACAGCTTTAAAGAATTGGTATTTCATTAAAATATATGAAACTCAATTTCAAAATGAGAAACTTTGAGTATAATAAAAAAAAACATTCGTTTGCCTAAAAATAACGAAAATGATACCAAAATAGGAGTTTAAATATAATATGCGTTATATATCTTACAAAAAAATTTGTAACTTTTAAAACTATTTTTTTTTTTTTTCAAAATAATAATATTCTATTACGATGAAAAAGCTCATTTTGTCGGCGTTAATAATAAATTGAAAAATGCTCATGTGAAATATTTACTTATTCTGTAATTTTTTAGCTAATTTTTTCGACTTTGTAAATAAAAGTGAAAAAATGGCATAAAACTCCTCGATTTTGTACATTTTCCTTATAATACCAAGTTAAAATCAAAATCATTTGATCTGGCATCTCTATGCAATGAAAACAAAAACTCATGTAAAACAAAAACATCACAACAATAACAACTTCCTACACACTTTGTTTTTGTTCATAATTTTTTAACAATTCTTCTTTAAATCTTAATTTCTTCGTTGTTTTCCTTCATTTTTTTTCTCAATTCCTTCTTCCTATGTTGATTTTTACTTATTCTCCGTTTGGTTTTTTGTTGCATTTTAGGCCTTTTGTCTTCTCAAAAATAAATTTTCCCCTAATTGGGAAATAATAAAAAAAGAGGAAAATAAAATTTTATACTTATTTTCCTAATGCACTTCAGGGCAAAATTAATTTAAATATTTTAAACAAAAATAAATGATGTTGCAAGTATATTTTTGCAACATAAACAAAAGGGAAAAGCAGGAAAATGTATATGAAAGTAGAAAAATTTTCCATAACAAAATGTAACCATTATCCTAAATCCCTTTTTTCATACAACAGCCATTATGTGTGGAAATATTTCTGTAGTTTGTAAGCTTAAAATTTTCTTTTTTTTAAAGTTGCAGTTTTTCCTTTCTATCTGCCACAGCCAAAAATTGATTGATTTTCAATAATATTTTTATACACAATATTTTTTTCTTTTTGTCTTCTGATACACTTTTTCTTTTTCATTTTTTTTCTATTCACCTTGATATTTTTTTAGTTTTATAACTCAATATTTTCTTAAGCTTTGCAACACAATTGAAGTTTATTTATTGAGATTTCTAGAAAATTTCAATGTTTTTCTCTAGTATTCTTTTGGTTTTTAATATTTTTGATTAGATTTTAAGCTTGTAATTTTATAAATAAGAAAACAATTTTTTTCTTTAGACAATTTTTCTCTTCAACACTTGTCACGACGACGACGAACGACAACGAATGCACAAGTCACAGTGCGAGAGCTCTGCGGCGGCCAAATATTGTCAACGCCGCCGTTAACTATTAAGAAACTAGCAGCAGCTTTAAACGAATTGTAGACCGTGCAAAAAATTGCCTGAAATTAAAAAATAATTAATTTAAGCCATGAAATTTCAAGAATTTAAGCAAATTAATAAAAGAAAGTTACAAACAAATGGTGTTTACCTTTAAGCCATGTTAATTTGAAAACAAAAGCAAGACGTTGTTTTTCAAACTTCAGCGACGGATAGGCATTATTTCGATTGGCCTTGATCTCTTAACACGGTGCAATGAAAATCACAAATAAAAATAAGAAAACAAGTTTTTAAACTAGCAGAGTTGTTAAAAATAGTAACGAAGTCTACTAGTCTATAGTCTAGTCTATAGTCTAGTCTATAGTCTAGTCTATAGTCTAGTATTAGTCAGCTATAGTCTAGGTCTATAGTCTAGTCTATAGTCTGTCTATAGTCTAGTCATAGTCTAGTATATAGGCTAGTCTATAGTCTAGTCTATGTTCTAGTCTATAGTCTAGTCTATGTCTAGTGCTATGTCTAGTCTAAGGTCTAGTTATCGTGAGTCTATAGTCTAGTCTATAGTCTAGTCTATAGTATAGTCTATAGTCTAGTCTATAGTCTAGTCTATAGTTAGTCTATAGTTCGTCTATAGTCTAGTCTATAGTCTAGTCATAGTCTAGTCTAAGCTAGTCTATAGTATAGTCATAGTCTAGTCTATAGTCTAGTCTATAGTCTAGTCTAAGTCTTAGTCTATAGTCTAGTATATTTTTTAACAGGGGGGGGTTCTTAGTCTAAGTCTAGTCTATAGTCTAGCTATAGTCTAGTCTATAGTCTAGTCTATAGCTCTAGTTATGTCTAGTCTATAGTCTAGTCTATGTCTAGTATATAGTCTAGGCTATAGGTCTAGTCTATAGTCTAGTCTATAGTCTAGTATATAGTCTATTCTATAGTCTAGTCTATAGTCTAGTCTATATGCTAGTCTATAGTCTAGTTATAGTCTAGTCTCTAGTTAGTCTATAGTTAGTCTATAGTCTAGTTATAGTCTAGTCTATAGTCAGTCTATAGTCTAGTCTATAGTCTAGTCTATAGTCTAGTCTATAGTCTAGTCTATAGTCTAGTCTATAGTCTAGTCTATAGTCTAGTCTATAGTCTAGTCTATAGTCTAGTCTATAGTCTAGTCTATAGTCTAGTCTATAGTCTAGTCTATAGTCTAGTCTATAGTCTAGTCTATAGTCTAGTCTATAGTCTAGTCTATAGTCTAGTCTATAGTCTCTAGTCTAGTCTATAGTCTAGTCTATAGTCTAGTCTATAGTCTAGTCTATAGTCTAGTCTATAGTCTAGTCTATAGTCTAGTCTATAGTCTAGTATAGTCTAGTCTATAGTCTAGTCTATAGTCTAGTCTATAGTCTAGTCTATAGTCTAGTCTATAGTCTAGTCTATAGTCTAGTCTATAGTCTAGTCTATAGTCTAGTCTATAGTCTAGTCTATAGTCTAGTCTATAGTCTAGTCTATAGTCTACAGTCTAGTCTATAGTCTAGTCTATAGTCTAGTCTATAGTCTAGTCTATAGTCTAGTCTATAGTCTAGTCTATAGTCTAGTCTATAGTCTAGTCTATAGTCTACAGTCTAGTCTATAGTCTAGTCTATAGTCTACAGTCTAGTCTATAGTCTAGTCTATAGTCTACAGTCTAGTCTATAGTCTAGTCTATAGTCTAGTCTATAGTCTAGTCTATAGTCTAGTCTATAGTCTAGTCTATAGTCTAGTCTATAGTCTAGTCTATAGTCTAGTCTATAGTCTAGTCTATAGTCTAGTCTATAGTCTAGTCTATAGTCTAGTCTATAGTCTAGTCTATAGTCTAGTCTATAGTCTAGTCTATAGTCTAGTCTATAGTCTAGTCTATAGTCTAGTCTATAGTCTAGTCTATAGTCTACAGTCTAGTCTATAGTCTAGTCTATAGTCTACAGTCTAGTCTATAGTCTAGTCTATAGTCTAGTCTATAGTCTAGTCTATAGTCTAGTCTATAGTCTAGTCTATAGTCTAGTCTATAGTCTAGTCTATAGTCTAGTCTATAGTCTAGTATAGTCTAGTCTATAGTCTAGTCTATAGTCTAGTCTATAGTCTAGTCTATAGTCTAGTCTATAGTCTAGTCTATAGTCTAGTCTATAGTCTAGTCTATAGTCTAGTCTATAGTCTAGTCTATAGTCTAGTCTATAGTCTAGTCTATAGTCTAGTCTATAGTCTAGTCTATAGTCTAGTCTATAGTCTAGTCTATAGTCTAGTCTATAGTCTAGTCTATAGTCTAGTCTATAGTCTAGTCTATAGTCTAGTCTATAGTCTAGTCTATAGTCTAGTCTATAGTCTAGTCTATAGTCTAGTCTATAGTCTAGTCTATAGTCTAGTCTATAGTCTAGTCTATAGTCTAGTCTATAGTCTAGTCTATAGTCTAGTCTATAGTGTAGTCTATAGTCTAGTCTATAGTGTAGTCTATAGTCTAGTCTATAGTCTAGTCTATAGTCTAGTCTATAGTCTAGTCTATAGTCTAGTCTATAGTCTAGTCTATAGTCTAGTCTATAGTCTAGTCTATAGTCTAGTCAATAGTATAGTCTATAGTCTAGTCAATAGTCTAGTCTATAGCCTAGTCTATAGTCTAGTCTATAGTCTAGTCTATAGTCTAGTCTATAGTCTAGTCTATAGTCTAGTCTATAGTCTAATCTATAGTCTAGTCTATAGTCTAGTCTATAGTCTAGTCTATAGTCTAGTCTATAGTCTAGTCTATAGTCTAGTCTATAGTCTAGTCTATAGTCTAGTCTATAGTCTAGTCTATAGTCTAGTCTATAGTCTAGTCTATAGTCTAGTCTATAGTCTAGTCTATAGTCTAGTCTATAGTCTAGTCTATAGTCTAGTCTAGTTTACTCTAGTCTGCAGAATAGCCAGTAGTCTAACCCATAGTCTATATATTTTTTTTTAATTTTCAAAACTAACGTTTTTGTAATCGTTTTATAAATATCTTGGCAACACTATTGCATCACCTGTTATTTAACGAAACTCGTCTAACACATCTGGTAGCTCAGTTTTTTACTTCCTTAGTTTCTCTCTTCTTCTTAGCAGTCAACGGTTGTGTTTTCGAGTAAAGTTAATTTCAATTAAAGTTTTTTAATATTAATAGTTTACGGATTTTTATGAAATATATTTTAAAGTGAAGCTAAAAGTAGTGTTTATACGGGAAATATGAAGTATTACAGCAAAGAAATGTGTGAAAAAAATTATTTGCGATTAAATATCGTGGCGTATAGTTGTGAAGGCAAATGTAAAGTTTTGCTAGTGTAGTAGTTGTAAAAAAGCGCGTAAAGTTTGTGCAAAAGCAGAGTATAATAATAAGGATGCCAGATGTGTGAAAAGGTAAAATTAGTATGAAATGGCAGTTTAATTTAAAAATGTGCGTTGAAATAGGACGGAAATGAAATGTGCGGAAATAAAAGGTAAGTTATGAAAATAAATAAGTGCCAATATTAAAGAGAAATAGATATAAATTAGATTTGAATTAAAAAAATTGTATTTATAATTAAAAATATATTTACATGAAAAATTTGAAATTTATATCCAATAATTTTTTACCTTTATACATACATATGTATGTATCTCTTTAGAAAAACACATTTTTAAAATAACGTTTTTTTGTTCAAAATACATAATTTATTAATTTAGCGTATAAAAAATTTCACAAGATTCTAAAACCAATACAATAAACAATCAGAAATCACACTCTGATTTTAATAGTTCTCAGTGGTTCTGACATAATTGACGCCAGAGGGCATAGACACCTTATCAAAGCCTTTGGGGAATAATTTATTGGCTTCGTCATCGGTAACGGAAGGAACAATCATGACCTTGGTGCCCGGCTAAAATTATATAAAAAAACGATTAAAAATTAATAATTTATAAAATAATTAAAAAGTAAGTAAAAAAACTTACAGTCCAATTAGCGGGAGTGGCCACAACCTTAAGACGATCGGTCAATTGCAAAGAGTCAATGCAACGCAAGATTTCACTAGAAAATTTAACAAAATAGGAAAATTAGTAAAATATTGAATTAAAAAAAATATAATTAAAAACAAACTTACTCTACATTACGACCACAGGACATGGGATAGTACATGGAGAGACGCAACTTATGATCGGGACTAATGATGAACAGAGCACGTATGGTTTTGCCAACTTCGGGATCTTTTCTTTGTTCCTCATCCAACATACCGAATTGTACAGCCAATTCACGATTGGGATCGGCAATAATGGGATAGGGGAAATCTCCGGGAATATCCAAACAGTAGGATTTAATGTCATTGACCCAGTCAACGTGTGAATTCAATTGATCGACGGAATGAGCCAAACATTTGGCATTACGTTTAGCGAATTCGGGAGCATGAACGGCAATACGACCCAATTCGGTGGTGCAGACGGGTGTGAAATCAGCAGGGTGGGAGAATAAAACTACCCAACTAAAAAGAAAGAAAAAATTCAATTTAAAAAAGTACATTCACTGCTTGTAAAAGTATTTTCAAATTTAAGAGCCGATGCTCTAGAGATTTGGAATATGTTGTATCGTTTCCCTTTAGGAGATTCTATAAATATCAGATTTCCTAAATGAAACTGAAAGTATTCAACCCCCCTAAAAAAAGCCAATTAATTATAGATGGATCATGTGTCTATTAGTTTATTTTTTTCATGTAGTATAATCCATTTTGCAATACACGTTTCTTTGATAAAATTATTATCGAATTTGTTGATTTGTTATTAGAATATTAATTAAGAAATTAATGGCCAAAACTATTAGTTGTTCAATTTCAAACTTATGTATATAGATAATTTTATTGCCAATATTATTTTTTTGTTAAAGATAAGGAGTGATTTTGGTTAAAGTAATTAATGTTAAATTATTAATCATTATTATGTTAAGGTTAGTCATTAATTCCATTAGGATGAAATGTAAATAATTCGTAAAGTTTGTTGTTGTTGTAATTATTATCTCTAATTCAGTCTTGAAAGCCCCTCTTACTAAATAACTGGCTAGTTCAGTTCTAGTTCAGTTCTAGTTCAGTTCTAGTTCAGTTCTAGTTCAGTTCTAGTTCAGTTCTAGTTCAGTTCTAGTTTAGTTCAGTTCTAGTTCAGCTCTAGTTCAGTTCTAGTTCAGTTCTAGTTCAGTTCTAGTTCAGTTCTAGTTCAGTTCTAGTTCAGTTCTAGTTCAGTTCTAGTTCAGTTCTAGTTCAGTTCTAGTTCAGTTCTAGTTCAGTTCTAGTTCAGTTCTAGTTCAGTTCTAGTTCAGTTTTAGTTCAGTTCTAGTTCAGTTCTAATTCAGTTCTAGTTCAGTTCTAGTTCAGTTCTAGTTCAGTTCTAGTTCAGTTCTAGTTCAGTTCTAGTTCAGTTCTAGTTCAGTTCTAATTCAGTTCTAGTTCAGTTCTAGTTCAGGTCTAGTTCAGTTCTAGTTCAGGTCTAGTTCAGTTCTAGTTCAGTTCTAGTTCAGTTCTAGTTCAGTTCTAGTTCAGTTCTAGTTCAGTTCTAGTTCAGTTCTAGTTCAGTTCTAGTTCAGTTCTAGTTCAGTTCTAGTTCAGTTCTAGTTCAGTTCTAGTTCAGTTCTAGTTCAGTTCTAGTTCAGTTCTAGTTCAGTTCTAGTTCAGTTCAGTTCAGTTCTAGTTCAGTTCTAGTTCAGTTCTAGTTCAGTTCTAGTTCTAGTTAAGTTCTAGTTCAGTTCTAGTTCAATTCTAGTTCAGTTCTAGTTCAGTTCTAGTTCAGTTCTAGTTAGTTCTAGTTCAGTTCTAGTTCAGTTCTAGTTTTAGTTCAGTTCTAGTTTTAGTTCAGTTCTAGTTCAGTTCTAGTTCAGTTCTAGTTCAGTTCTAGTTCAGTTCTAGTTCAGTTCTAGTTCAGTTCTAGTTCAGTTCTAGTTCAGTTCTAGTTCAGTTCTAGTTCAGTTCTAGTTCAGTTCTAGTTCAGTTCTAGTTCAGTTCTAGTTCAGTTCTAGTTCAGTTCTAGTTCAGTTCTAGTTCAG